CTCTATATATATATATATATATATATATATATATATATATATATATATTATAACAATGTCTTTAATAAAATGTATTTATTAGTTTCAATTTATTTAGTTTTAATTGTTTTAGTACTGTAATTTTAACTAAATAAAAATGAGAAATGTTCCTTTGGCAAATAGCTGAAATAAATATTTTTATATTTTATTTTATTTTTTATTTATTAGCAATTAACGTTTATTTATTTCAAGTAACACAAATGTTTTTTAATGGTTTTAATTTTAGTTTTCGTTAATAATAACCTTTGAACATTCAAAGCATAATCAAAGCAGTCAATGCTGAAGAGAAAGTGAAAGAGATGTGTGTATACTTGGGAATTGTACACCTGAGCATGCTGCCCTTGAAACAGCCATTTGATGAATCTATAATATGCAAATGAGATCAATAAAAACTATTATTCATTTGCTGATATAGTGCTGTTATAATGAGCATGCAGATGTGTTTGTATCTGATCCAACTTTGGTAACTGTGTGAGATACTTATAATATGCTGACATAGAAGTAGATGCTATTGGACAGGATTCTGTCAGCGTGTCTTTTATCCATATAAAGTGTTTGTCGTAGCAAGGTCCTCATACCACCCCCTTCTGCGGTACACCTGTCTCTTATTAGATGGTCTAAACACACACGCATATATACACATACAGGTCAGCGGGTGCGTCATCAACCATGGAACGAGATGCAGAAGTGCATGATCTATAATCCCGGATTTTTAATTTTTGTTTGCAATGGTCACATGGTTTAAAGGGGTAAAATACACTGTGAAATAAATATTAATTACAGCCAACAGTCATTCTCATTAGTAGGTAGCATGTGTGCTGCTGTTGGCAGCAATCTGTTTTTAACTAGCTTTAACCTTAATTACACATCTTCCTGAATGACTGTGTGTGTTATATTGGAGACAAACACACACTTCTGTCTTCTCTTTCTCCATCTCTCTCTTGTTCCACTCAGTCCCTCTTTTTTTTCTCTCGCTCATATTTATCTCCGGAAATCTATAATTTCTGTAATCCTAATCTGAGGGTGGGGCCACAGATTATCAGTGGATAAGAGATGGAAGAGGGAATGTGAAGGGGAGGGACACGCATGAGTCATAGGAGTTATAATTGAAACACATTGCTATTTTCTAATGTCCATGAGACACCTTTTTAGTTTCTGTACAGCACATCATGGCTGCAGAATTAATCTGCTCCTCAACATACAAGCACACATGTGCACTCATCTCCCTCTCATTTCTCTTCTCTTGTCTCTGATTGTGAGTTGTTTGAGGTTGAGGGGATTATAAGGGATCTGCTTTTGTAGGAACAGTGACAGAATGAGAGAAACAGAGAGAAAGAAGTATAGAGGGAGAAAGAGATTAAGACAGATATTGTGATATGTGTATGAGATCCGTGGAGCTCAGAAGTAGTTCTCTGAATTTGATACAACTATATATTACATTTTAAGGCTGCATTTATTTGATAATAAATACAGTAAAATCGGTATTATTGCAAAATATTATTATAATTTCCAATAACTGTTTTCTGTTTTAATATGTTTTTAATTGTAATTTATTCCTGTGATGAAAAGCTGAATTTTCAGTTATTATTATTGCAGTCTTCAGTGTCACATGATCCTTCAGAAATCATTCTAATATGCTGATTTGCTGCTCAAGAACCATTTACTATTATTGCTGTCTTATTATTACTTTATGTATAAAACCATGTAACATTATTTGAAATAGAATTAATTTATTTCTTTTTCTTACATTCTTAGTGTGATTTGTGAGAATTACACATTTTAACATTATATAGGCCTAGTCACACTGAGAGTGTCTGTGTGTAAAGGACAGATTTAATGCATTAATTTGGCGAGCAGATTTAATGGTGAGCATTTTCTCTGCACATTAAAATCATATACTTATTGTAAGCTTCAGAGCATATGTCTGTGAAAGTGTTTGCTCGTGTGCTTCTATGTAAGTGTGTTTTTATTGGCTGTAAACGTTGCAGACAGGTTGCACACCCAGATGGTCTCTCTTTAGGTCTCTGCTGGACTCCCATGTACTGCTATCCAGTGAGACGCCTCATTCTTGTTCCATGTCCTCTCTCCCTCTGTATCTTCCCTCTGCATCCCACCTGCTTTTAGGTGTGTTTGTGATGTAGTTTTATGACTTATGAGGGTTCCCTAGTGGATGTGACTTCACAGCCTAGCTCCATACCTGTTAAGTGTAATAAAACATAGTTAGAGATGATCTCACACGGTGCAATAACACTTAAAATGGCTGCAACATTTTTCATTAGTGGGTGAATGGTAACCAAAATTAACCTAGTTTGACCCCACAATGAGCAAGACATAAACTAGTACCATTGTGTCCTTGAGTAAGACACTTAACCTCAGATTAATCCAGTACTATCCCTATAGTACGTGGCCTAAAAATTGCTTTGGATTAAAGTATTTTTAAACTTTGACCCTCTAAAGGGCTTTTCACACCTGATATAGTTAACAATGTGTCAGTCTAAAACCCTGGGTAAGGGGTATTCAAATTCATAATCTGACATTTCACACCGTACATTTATAAACCCTGGGTTAATATTCTTATTTGCATATGTTTGGTGTCGCGTTTTATTCGGGAATTTAATCCCGCGGCGCAAAAAATCTGGTCGGGTCCCGCGGTTCCCACGGGAGAGCCATGGGAATGCAGACCTCTAGAGAGAAGCACCTGTCAGGAGAACAAAAGCGAAAACATAAAAAAGTACAAGACGTTAAAAGAATGAAAGTTTCCCCTACGAATTGGGTGCTTACAAATAAGAATAAACAAAATATTGGAGATGATTGTGACAGACAGGGAAAGATTTGACATGCTAATTGATACAGTATGGCCGCTATCAGAGACACAGGACAGCAGCAATAAACAAGCAACAATATCTGCAGAGACAAAACAGTATGAAAAGTCAGTAGCCTATTCAAGTCAGTGGCAACATAAGCGATGACGACCTCAGAGAAACAGGACAGGTTAACGAACTTGCACGATCCACAGACTTTGATGAAATGTTAGAAAAATGGGCAAGCATGAAAACAAGACGTTTTCAGATTTAATTACCTTTATGTCAGAAAAGTTTAGGATAAGAAGCTCTTAAATTTGCTGGCTACCAATTCTTTTTTTTTTTTTTGTATAATAACACTGCAGATTTAAAACTTCTATTCTGCTATTACCTTGTTGCGGTGTTTAGCCGCTCCGATGGGTTTTATATTTCTTTATTGTCACTGCCTACTGAGAATAGGTAGGAAAACTGTTAAATATTAGGGCTCGACAATAAGGGTGCCCGATAGCATAGCCCGGGGCCAGCGGGAAAAAACGCTCGGGACAGTTGACGGATTTCTGACTGGATCAATTGGGCCACTGCTGTGTGCTCACACATGTTTAGCATTTGCACATGTTATTAAGCTTTACCAAATTAAACATTCAATCAATTTCAAAGCATTAGAAGACGCGGAAAGCACACAAAGCGCAAGACTAGGCGAAAGACACACAGCGAGCCCCGAACTAAGTTTCTCTTTCGCGTCTTCTTGCACTTTAATGGACAAATACACCTTGCCAATTTGAACGTCCAAGCGATGTTAACCTATTCAAGTGCAAGAAGATGTGAATAACAACTCCAAAAAAAAAAACCTCACCATAAAAACCTAAAGCATATCTTTCATTTGTATCTTTGTTCTGCTTATTTGTGCTATTGCTTGTAATTTGTTCATTTGTTCTTATTTACTGACTGTTCACTTGTCTTTAATAATGTTTGAACTTTGTTAGACTAATAGTTTTTGCCATGGTAACGAAACTAAAACTAAAATTAAAACTTTAAAAAATATTTTTTTTACTTGAAATAAAATAAACGTTACTTGAAATAAAATAGAAAGGGGCTCAAATTTCTGTCTTGCATACCCCCCTCTCTTCGTGGCGCCCCTGCATCTAGCTGTAACACTGTATATGCTTGTCTATGCTGCAAAAGCGGCTCAAGCCTCCTCTGGAACAGGTGTAAAAAGTGGTGCTAGCCCTGCTTATAAATTACAACGTGAAGCGTTCCTTTACCTGGGGTTAAGTGCAGCGTTTAATGTTTTTGCATGAATTGAGAAAATCTTTAAACACTGTTATGCTGTTTATTTGAACTTAACTCACGTTGGCCTTTACTTTCTGTGTCCACATCCAGACTCCTGGAGAAACGGCAGCAGAATGGCGAGACTATCGAGCTGTCAGTGGAGGGCCGCCCGGAGCTGGTGGAGGAGAAGGAGCTTCCCGTCGTGGACTGCACGTGTTTCGGGTTGCCGCGTCGTTACATCATCGCCATCCTGTCAGGCCTGGGCTTCTGCATCTCGTTCGGCATCCGCTGTAACCTGGGTGTGGCCGTCGTCAGCATGGTCAACGACCACACCATTTACTACGGAAAGAAACCTGTCATAGTGGTCAGTGTCACATTAATAAAGATCATCCATTCAAGTTTAAGAAAATTAATGGAAACAGAATGAAGAAATTGGGCATTTCTGAGTTTATTAAGGGGCATATTTTAAAATTTAAGATAAAAATTAGATTCATTAAGCATGGATAGATACAACACAGGTTTATAAGAAATAAAGATACATCAGCATAGAGCCTACTGTCAGTTTGATTTGCTATGCCAATATGTCAGTAATGCCAATAACATCAATATCTAAATACAAGCATACATAAATATATGCAAATTGACTCGGTCACTTCAAATTCCAGTTTACTCACATTAACCAGTTAGATTTTTGTCTCTACATAGTGTGCACTGTGAGGTTTCCCTGTAGAATTTCACACAGCTATGCAATTACCCCACAAATAGACTGAGAAAATCAAATTGATAGAAAATAAGATTTTTAATATAATTTTAAAAATATGTATTATTATTATACAAATTTTGATCAATTTATTTTATGATCTGTTATTATTATTATTAGACTATCTTACTTATATATTTAGTTTTATATTTTTTATTTTACTACTTTGTTGATTATTTTACTTCTTTCTCACATTCCCCCCTTCCCTTGTTTGTAAATGTAACATGACACAGAAAAAGTGACTGAGGTTAATTCAGGTTATTTGATGCTTTGAAGAATAGCGCGTAATCATTTTTTATTGATTAAAACCTGAACTGACAAGGTATGCGACAGTATTCTCAGATTTTGCACAGAAAGCTTTCGAATATAAGTTGGATGCAAGGAGTTTGACTCTCTCTTTTCCCACCCAGGCTGCTCAGTTCACATGGGACCCCGAGACGGTAGGGATGATACACGGCTCATTCTTCTGGGGTTACATCGTCACACAAATACCTGGGGGATTCATCTGTCAAAAGTTTGCCGCTAACAGGTAATGTGATCAGCGAATTGATGTTTTCTCAAGTGTTCTTTTTCTGAAGAGTTTTATGAATTTAAATGAGTCAATCTTGAGTCAATGTGTGTTGTCTTTTGATCTGGCTCTTGTTGCATTGCAACAACCTACCCCATATATAATGAAAAAATTATGTAATTATAATAAAATTATATAATGACAGTGTGTGTTCAGCAAATGTCAAAAATGAAACTTTTTTTCCCCAGCCCCATGTGATGAGATATTAGCATGGTATTTCATTGGGATTAGGCCTCAGTTGACTGTACTGCATGTGTGTTTGGTCTCAGGGTGTTTGGCTTTGCCATTGTGGCCACGTCAATGCTGAATATGCTGATCCCAGCAGCAGCAAGAGTTCACTATGGGTGTGTTATCATGGTCAGGATTTGCCAGGGGCTTGTGGAGGTATGCCATCTGTGTGCATGCGTGGATTTGTGTGGATCTGAAGTAGTCGGAAATATTAATGTTTTATTAGTCCAAATACATAGCATCACACTAAGGATTTTTTTGTGTGTGTTACCATCATGGTTATATATATATATTAAATCAGTTTATTACTCTACTGGAAGGGTGTGTCATATCCTGCATGTCACGGCATCTGGGCCAAATGGGCTCCGCCACTTGAAAGAAGTCGATTGGCAACAACAGCATTCTGTGGTAAGATGTCTATCGATCATTTGAATCCATAAATTATATAAACCTGGTAATCAATAGAATTTATATATTTTTGTGATTATTTGAACCTTGAATCAAGTTTTGATTTTGTAAAAAGCTGACATTGATGATAATGTTAGTGAATAGCACTAATAAGAGGAAGTATACTAAGAAACTGTATGTTATAGGTTCATATGCCGGTGCTGTTGTTGCAATGCCTTTGGCTGGAGTCTTGGTCCAGTACACTGGATGGTCCTCAGTGTTTTATGTGTATGGTAAGTAGCATATACACGTCATTTTAATTATATACAATAATATTTGATATAAAACTTTTGTTTACTTAATGAACCAAGTAATAGCGAACACTTTAATATATAATATACAATATACACACACTATCACTCATTATTTATTTTTCTAATTCTTTTATTCAGAAAGGATGCATTAAATTGATCAAATATGACAGTAAAGACATTTATAATGTTACAAAACATTTCTTTTTCAAATAAATGCTGTTCTTTTATACTTTATATTCATCAAAGAATCATCAAGCATCAAATCAGCATATTAGATTGATTTCTGAAGGATCATGAGACACTGAAGACTGGAGTAATGATACTGAAAATTCAGCTTTGCCATTCAGCTTTGAATAAATTACATTTTAATATTGAAATATATAATAAATTATATATTTAATAAATGTAATTATATATTTAATAAATTACATATATATTGAAATTGTAAGCAGTTATTTTAATTTGTAAAAATATTTCACAATATTACAGATTTTTGCTGTATTTTTTATCAAATAAATACAGCCTTGGTGATTGTAAGAAACATCTTTCAAAAACATTTTAAAAATCATGCCAATGACCCCAAAAACAGACCCCAAGCTTATACTTTAGTGTATATATAATACAGGTGCATCTCAATAAATTAGAATGTCGTGGAAAAGTTCATTTATTTCAGTAATTCAACTCAAATTGTGAATTTGAGTTGAATTACTGAAATAAATGAACTTTTCCACGACATTCTAATTTATTGAGATGCACCTGTATATAATTTTCATTATATATAATAATTTTTATCATCCTTTTCTATCCTCACAGGGAGTGTTGGGATATTCTGGTATCTCTTCTGGATTCTAGTTTCCTATGAGAGTCCAGCTGTTCACCCAGACACAACAAAACACACATTCACCACACACAACACAACACAACACACACACACACACAACACAACACACACTCTAAATCTTCTCTCATTTCTCATCTCTCTAATTGCTGCTTGCTGCACTGTTCTGGATATGTTCGACCTCTGGTTTTTCACTACCCTGCAGAAATTTAAAACTCCCTGGCGGCACTTCTTTACCTCCATGCCAGTGTATGCCATCATCGTGGCCAACTTCTGCAGAAGCTGGACCTTCTACCTGCTCCTCATCAGCCAGCCCGCTTACTTCGAGGAGGTGTTTGGCTTTGAAATCAGCAAGGTGACACACACACACACACACACACCCACACACACACACACACACGCACACACACACACACAAACATGTCTGGTTTGCTATCCTTGTGGGGATTCTCCATAGGCATAATGGTTTTTCTACTGTACAGACCTTATATTCTATCGGCCTACAGCTACACACACACACACACACACACACACACACACACTTAAATTGGTGATGCTCTACAACAGTGCTTCTTAACTGGTGGGCCACAACCCAAAAATAAATCACATGTCTGGTATGAAGGGTTGCAGACTGCAGGAAAAGGCAATGCTAAATATAAACAATAAAATGCAACAGCATATAGTAATTTATAAATAATTTGTAGTTACCTTTAAAGAGTTTATAAGTAAAATGTTTGTCCTAAAACAAAACCAGCTGAGAAACACAGTATGCACACACATAATGCAGTATTGTGCAGGTGGATGAAGATGTTTTGTTCAATAACTAATCTTTTTGTTCCTTCTGTCGCTCAGGTGGGGTTGGTGTCTGCACTTCCTCATTTAGTGATGACCATTATCGTGCCAATTGGAGGACAACTTGCTGACTACATGAGAACACATAATATAATGACCACAACGAATGTCCGTAAACTCATGAACTGTGGAGGTAAGATGTAGATAAGGGAAAAAAAATCGAATTTTTTATTTTACCCCAAAAATAAAAAAATCTGTCATTATTTACTCACCCTTATGTTTTTTGTTTGTTTACCTTTTATCACTAGCATAGGACCAACAGAATGACATGAGCCTGAATAAATACCCATAATATGACAGAATCATTTATTTATATTTTTTGGGGGTAAACTTCCCCTTTAATAAATGTCATAAATGTAGAATCCAGCACACAAAGTGTGTTTTAATCAACAGAGCGTGTGCTGAATCAGAAACTGTATATGTGTGTGAGACACAAATCAGATTATCTGCCTATTTTTGCTTTGTCTGGTCCTGCAATGGCAGCTGGGGCAATAATCACTGATGCATCAATGCATGACACACTCAGTCTCTCACAATCGTCTGCACACACAACATACAAACATGCACAACACAGAGACAGATGCACCAGAGCATGCAGGAAATGGACGGCACAGGTATACTCTGACCCACAGTAAACCTTGTATGTTGTATCCAAGAGACTGTACTGTTGTGTGTGTCTGTGTGTGTTTTAGGGTTTGGAATGGAAGCCACTCTACTCTTGGTTGTTGGTTTCTCACATACCAAAGTAATAGCTATTTCTTTCCTTGTACTGGCGGTTGGTTTCAGTGGATTTGCAATTTCAGGTTAGTAAAAGAAAAGATTTAAGACAAAACACACTTAAGAATTTACTTAGATTTTGTGCACACTACCATTCAAAAGTCTGGGCTCAATAAGATTTTTTCATGTTTTGAATTTCTTATGCTCATTCACGTGATCAAAAATACAAATAAAACAGTAATATTGTGAAATATTATTACAATTAAAAAAATGTAAAACTAAAATGAATGAAATAAAGTGAATTTTCAGCCTCATTACTCCAGCCATCAGTGCCACATGATCCTTCAAAATGCTGATTTGGTGCTCAAGAAACATAATATTCTTATGATCAATGTTAAAAACAGCTGCTTAATATTTTTGTGTAAACATGATACTTTTTGTTTCAGGATTCTTGATTATACATCTTTTAGAATATTGTAAATGTCTTTACTGTTGCTCCTGATTAATTTAATGCATCTTTGCAAAGTATTAATTTCTTTAAAAAAAAAATATATATATATATATTATTGACCCCAAACTTTTGAAAAATAGACCTCAAACAGTACTGTATATAACTGTGCTGCATCCATAAAGGCCAACTATTATCCTTAGTTCTCAGGTACTATATCTTCAATGGAAGCCTATTTCGTTTTTTTTTTTTTAAATATAAAAGTAATTGTAGAATAATGAATAAAATCAAAAAGAAAAGTGACATTGTGAAATATGAAGTAACATTGTGAGACAAAGTCACAATTACAAAATTTAAAGTCACATTAAAAGAAATAAAGTGTGACTGTGAGATATAAGGTCACAATTGTGAGAATCAAAGTTGCAGTTTAGGCAAGATATGAATGTGCAGTTTTAGATACTTGTTAAGATGCATGTATGAAAAATACATTTCTCTTTCCCTTTCAGGGTTTAATGTGAATCATCTTGACATTGCTCCACGTTATGCCAGCATCTTGATGGGAATCTCCAATGGAGTGGGAACTTTGTCAGGAATGGTGTGTCCTCTCATAGTTGGAGCCATGACCAAACATAAGGTACATACTAATAGCACACAACCTTCACATGCCAAATAATTGATTTCTATAGTTTATATTGTTGTTAATTGGCTTTATTTATTTATTTTTGCCTGTAGACACGTGAAGAGTGGCAGTATGTCTTCCTCATTGCAGCACTGGTGCATTATGGGGGTGTGATCTTTTATGGTATGTTGTGTTCAGCAAATCATAATTTCAACATGCAAACATGTTAAATCTCTTTTTATTCCACATATAATGAATATTCTAAATTACTTTTGTCATTTCTCTCCTGAAATGCTGGATTTGAATATGTTCTCAGGGATCTTTGCGTCAGGTGAGAAGCAGCCATGGGCGGATGCTGAGAATACCAGTGAGGAGAAGTGTGGCATTCTGGGAGAGGACGAACTGGCCAATGAAACGGAAGAGCTGTACAGGACTGGAGGACAGTACGGAGCTATAAACAATCCCCATGCTGGTGGTCCGAACGGAGGAGGTGCTGGGGCAGGATGGGTATCAGATTGGGATAAAACAGAAGAATATGTTCAACCGGTCGGGACAAATAGTTATTTATATGGCGAAGAGGGAGAGATAGAGCTCACATAGTGGAAAGAAACAGAGTCTATATCTAAGAGTTAAAGGAATAAAGATCAATACAGAGTAAATAGAGAGAGTGAGTGAATGTGTGAGTGTATGAATAAGCAACAGAGCAAATGAGTTTCCAACTTGATGATCAGATTATGTGATGATTGCTCTATAAACATACCCACTGTAGTGTGTGTGTGTGTGCGTGTGTGTGTGTTGATGCGAGTCATTTGGGTTTCAGATTGAGAATACAGCGGTGCTCTGTGAATGATATGTTCAGTATTTTAGGCTTTCTGCCAAAATCACTGTAATGCACTTAAAATGACACAGCGATATTAGACATGTTCATGGTTGTGGTGTACGAGTATACAGTATATGAGCTTCTCTGTGTGTGTGTGTGTGCTCATGGTGAGTGTGTATGTGTAAGTTTCCATATTGTGCACAGTTCCTTTTGTTTTATCCAGTGCTTTAAATGGTAAAATGGTTCAAGCAAATCTATGGACGTGTAGACATTTATTTGATCATAAGTTTGTGCACTTATACATGATATCCTTAAAGGGACAGTCACCAAAAATGAAAATTCTGTCATTATTTACTCTTTATGTGGTATATATATATATATATATATATATATATATATAATTTTAAATATTTTAAATATATGGTTTAATATATATTGATTGAATTTTCATTTTGGCCTAAACTATTCTTTAAACATGACTGAATGTGTGTGCAAGTTTAAACGACCCAGATCCTCATCATTGGGTCAGTGCACAAGCGTGTTTTCATCCTTTGTTGTACTATATTAGTCACATATACTCATTTTCACAAGCTTACACACATGCACACATATTCAATAAATCTGTGGATGAATCTATTTTGCGCACGTTGAAGGTTTACTGATATTACTGCCAGGCAAACTTATAATCATTTACACATTACATTTATGCATTTACAGACACTTTTATCCAAAAGGTATACATGGGAACTTAACCCATGACTATGTCATTGCTGATGCCATGAGTCAAAATATATCGACAGGCACAAACACAGAAAATGCCAGGTGAATTACAAGGTGTAAGTGCCGAAATTCTGAGAAGTTGATGGGTTGGTTGTATTCTCAGCATATGCAGATTTCATCATGTGCATCCATTTAGAGTCCATTCAGTCAGTGCAGTATGATCTTAGGGAATCAATCAGAAAACAGCATTAGGGAATGGAAAGAGGATGATTAATTATTGACCAACTGATTCTGCACTTTAATTTGATGCTATTCTGCTTCATGTGTTTGTAATTTGTTGCGCTTATTTCCTGAATCTTTCATTTGTTTATTTTGTTTTCCTAAATGTAACTTGACTTGTCAGCACAATATAAACAAAACAACAAAAAACATGTTTTCCCTTTGGAGGAAAAACTGAAATAATAATAATAATATCATTTAAAAATGTGTACAAATTGTATATGTGAAAATTCCGTGTACAATAAAACTAATTAAATGTATAAACTGTGTATTATTTATTCTTTGCACTAATAACCGATCAAACAGGCACAAGAAACTGCTCGAGATAGCAGACGTGTGGTAGGCGATGTGTTTGTATGAATCTGCATCACAATACAAGCCAAATTCCATTTTTCCAGCATCACTCCGATTACTTGCCCACGTGCACGCCACGCTCATCAGTTTTTCCTCCAGTTTATACCTTTATTCACCCTCCCTAATGCTCCTCTCCACCCACAGAAGGGCATCTGCTGTTTTCTAATCTTTGCCTAAAATCACCAAGATAATCCCTCTATCCATCTGTCATCCAGAGAGAGAAAGAAAGCATCTTTGCACCAGAGAGGTTTTGTTGTTGTTGTGTTGTCAGGGACATCTAGTGGTTAAAATGAGTAAACTAAAAATAAACTAAAATAATAGCGCTTTATACTGTATTCGACCATATTCAGATTGAAGTAGATTTGGTAAAAGGCTTTACATTGCCAAACAATTGGTAACATTAAATTACAGACATACACATTTACGCGTATAAAAAATAAAGAAAAAAAGAATGTATAATAATAAGAAGGAAAAGGCAAAAACATTACACAAATGAGTTGTTTAAATGCTCTACACAATGATTTTGTTTTATTGGGAACATTTTTTATTATTGTTTATTACATTACTTATTAGACTTTAGCAATTGACTACGTTTACCCTGTAATGGATTGTAAACCCTCTGCAGACTTAAGTGACAACTAAGTAATGATAATAAAATTATTATTTGCCAAATGCTTTATTTGCAAATACAACGAGGCATTAGGTTTAGGAAACTAGCACTAAATGCACTTTCTGAGGTATATATTTTATTTTCCTTTAAGGGCTAGATGTTCAGCGGAGACCTTTGATGGCTTTTAGTTTTTTTTTTTACTTTAATAAACACTCTCAAAGTACAGTTAGGACTACAATAATACACATGAAATCATAAAACACAAACAAAAAATATATATAAAATACTAAATATGTATACAAAATACATAAACTGCCAGGGTGTGGGTTAAACATCATGTAAATATGTTGAAGGACTTACAAATGGAGACCGTCTTAATTGCTTTCTTATTATGTAAACAAAAAATAGTCTTAACATAAATTTGAATTTCTTTTTCAAGAACCCAAAATAAAGGATTGGTTTTACTGTACTTACACTTATGAATATGAAATTTTGCAAAAATTACAATTAAATTTATAATGTAGTACTCTTTCCTTTTATTTGAGGACCTTTGATGGCTTGACGTGCATCTCTGGCCTTTTAATATGTAAAACGAATCCGATTGGTCCAGATTCACGGGGCGGGACATCAGTGAGAAATTGGAAAGAGGTATTGCACTACCATTGGTCAATACTTACTTCCGTTTATTCATCGCCCAATAGAATTTAAAAATCTGACAGGCCGGCTAAATCTCACTGGTCATCTCCTCCAGTGATCCCGCCTCCTCCTCGCCCTCAGTGAATCTGGGAGAGCCTTAGCCGAGAGGAGCTAATTCCTCTACGGGTGGATTTATGTGGGTTTTCGTAAAATTTGAACAGACTGGAGAAACATAGTTAAGAGAAGAATAATTTTTGGTGTTTTTACGGGTGGATTTTCATCAGCCCGAATACTTCCAGCCTGTCTTCGACTCTCGGGAGAGTTTAGTTAGTCTGGTCGATCGTAATGTGGCTCAGGGGCTAATCCTTGGACTTCATTCAATACTAATTCATCTCGAAGCGCTTCGTTTGGGCGAGCCGAACTGATTTAACAACAACTCACGAGGTAAAATACACAAATAAGCCGATACATAACTTGTTACCTGTTGATAGAAGTTGAGATAAAGCTATAAAGAGCTTGCCGGCTAAGTAAATGTGATAGGAACTGTTTAAACGTTATCTTAAACCACAGTCTTAACTGTCTTTAAATATGATTTGTTGATAATGCAGCAATTTAAAATCCCAGTCAACCATTTTATGTAACATGTATGTTCTTTTCCGGTTATTAAAGGAACAGTTCACCCAAAAAAGGAAAATTGTGTCATCATTTACCCACCCTCATGTTGATCCAAGCTGTATGACTTTTCTTTCTTCTGTGGAACGCAAAAGGAGATGTTAGGCAGAATGACAGCCCCAGTCACCATTCACTTTCGCTGCATTTGTTTTCCACACAGTGAAAGTAAAGAGTGACTTATCTTTTTTTGTGTTCAGTCTTTTAACGCTGCCATCATTTGTATAAGTGTATCAGTCAGAGTGAGAAGCTTGTATCTGTAAAGGTTATGTTTTTTCTAAGTTGCTCCTGATTAAATCCAATGATACTGCTATTTTCTGTTTCTAACCCTCTCCCCATTCACCTTCTCTCTCTTCCATCCAGAATGACAGAATACAAGCTGGTAGTTGTCGGGGCTGGTGGCGTTGGGAAAAGTGCTCTGACCATCCAGCTCATTCAGAATCACTTTGTAGACGAGTATGACCCCACTATTGAGGTAAGAGTTCACCTTCTTTAAAAGGGTATTCCAACCAAAAATGAAATTTGTCATCTTTTACTCCCCCTCATTTCAATCATGCATGAATTTCTTTCTTCTGTGGAACACAAAACAAGATATTTTGAAGAATGTTGGTAATCAAACTGTTTTGTTTCCCGTTGACTTCCATAGTATGGACAAAAAGTTATTTTTATGTCTATTCCATGCAGGATTCTTACAGAAAGCAGGTTGTGATTGACGGAGAGACGTGTTTGCTGGACATCCTGGACACCGCTGGTCAGGAGGAGTACAGTGCCATGAGAGATCAGTATATGAGGACAGGAGAGGGCTTTCTTTGTGTGTTTGCCATCAACAACGCCAAGTCCTTTGAGGACGTACATCTTTACAGGTACATAGCCAAACACATGTGGACAAACCGATATATGTAAACAATATTCGGCATCGGTTACCATCAAATAGTATCGCGATCTCGATTCCATTTCGATTTATCGTGCAGCCCTATTTCAGACAATAAGATAATCCATCTAAAAATGAAGATTGTCATTATTTACTCACACATGTCATTCCAGACCTGCATGACCTATTTTCCTCTGTGGAACATTAAAGATGTTTGGAAGAATGCTGGTAACCTAACAGTTTCGGGTTCCATTCACTTTTGTTGTATGGACAAAAAAA